TCCTGAAGTTTATGAATCGGAGAATGACGGAACTGATCCGTAGTTGACATCAGCAGGCACCAGAAAGGCTGAATGGAAGCAGCTCTATTTTATTTTTCTGAGCTGTCTGGCATGGACCATGTTGACTTTTGCAATAATTAAACCGGACATTATTCATACCCCTGGCAGATTTAGATAAATCATCAAACAAGATGTTCGTCAACTATAAAACAACAAATATTTTCCACTGAATATTGAGAAGTGTGTGAATTAGTTTGAAAATGCCGGTTTCTAATATGGTGTAAATGAAAGCAAATGTAAAAACTGCTACTCTTTTGTACCCTTTTACACGTATGATAAAAATCATTTTGACAGAGTCTCTTCTGATTTATGTTACGCAGAAAACTTATTGCTTAAATGAAAACTTTAGATGAAAATCTGCCAGGGATGCGGAAGAGTTTGGGTCGAACTGTTCGTTCCCTGGAGAACACAGCTGGAAGAATCAGTCATTCATCATGCCAATTTCTAAAACAAAAGATGCTGAAGACAGATTCGTCCATCCTTCCTCCAATTTTCATAAACATTTTGGCTTTTTTCATTTTATCCAATATCCGTTTTGTTGGGCATTGCTTCTGTTGCAAATATTCATATTTAATGACTTATCACAACAAGAAGCATAGAAAAACAATTTTTATTGCCTTTTTAATCTTTTTGAAATCCAAATATCAAAAAGATTGAGCCTTAAATATCTGATTGGTACATATTTAAACCTTTCACCTTCAAAACAGATCAATAATTTATGTCAAGGTTACAAATGGCCATTCAAACGTGTACATTTTCACCAACTTTGCAGCCACCTGAAATGGAAGATGTGGACTTCTAATATGTAAAAGACTCACAGAAGATTTGGGAGAAATATCTGCTTTTAGATTGGATTAAAATCAAGCTTTTCAGCATCAAGTCAATCTGCTTGATGCTGAAATTCAAAAAGAGAGACCATGACATGCTGAACGAGAACCTTAGTTCCTCAACCTGATCACTGAAGGTAGTTTTCTCTGTCGGGTTTCACAGCAAGACAAATGAGTCAGCACAGACTGCAAATGATCAAGAAAACAACTGATCAAGGTTCTGGTGTGGCCTTGTCATCCTGCTTAGCTTAGTTCAATGGGAAATCGGTCTAGGCAGCTGAAGTTTATAGTTCTTGTGAATTGGGCTGAGCCAAAATACCACCAGAGACGCCCTGTTACTCTTGGTGACAACCTACAATAAATGTCTTATGATGTCCTTGCCAACAAAGATTTTTCCACCATTTTCTAAGTCATAATTTGCTTCAGGATCAAACACTTTATTCATCGACAGGCAGAGACATAATAAACTTTTATTTAATGTGTTTTTCTGGATTTTTGTTTGACGCTCTGTCTCTCTGCATTAAATTGAAGGTATCATAAATATTTGAGACTGTTCCTTTTCTTTCAAGTGAGAAAACTTATAAATTCAACAGAGGATAAAGTAATTATAACCTAGAGCATTTTAAAGGAGCTCCAGCTTCATGGGCCCAACTGCATTTTTGATCTGCAGAAACTGCTGAAATGTAAAATGTTGTACTAAATTGTACTTTGTGGATTTTAAAAGGTTTATCATTAAATCTAGCAAAAATAAATCAGTTAGATTTGAATTAACTCCCATCTGTATCTGCAACCTAATAGGTATTAAAACTTTCTGTAGTTAGTTTGTGGCAGAAAAACAAAATAATCTGAGCTTGAGCGAATTAAGTACACTGAACTGAAATAAATGTAACTGAATTGATCAAGCAGCCGCTATTTTGAAGGAAGCAGCAGGGGCGTTTCTGCTCCAGGGTTTGATACTTTAAACTCTGATCAAAAGCTGACTGCGCATCAATATAATGCTCAATAAAAAATGTAAATATTTATCTCATGTTTAGACTTGAGGATCCCATTATTAATAGAAATATTAGAGACACAAAGATGATTTTCACTCTGGTCTTCAGACTGAAATGCTGAACAAAAACACTGACTCTACTGTATTTCCCTCTCCAGACACATTAGAATAAGATCCTGTATTGGTGCTATAAAGCAACCACTCACAGTAAACTCTGCGTTTCATTTTAACTACCTTCAAGTTGCCTGAAAGAGACAAGAAGCGTACTTGCAACAGCCAACTTCTTGTAATTATGCCATAAGTGCTGGATCCACCTTTGCTCGCAGCAACACAGGAAAAGATGCAATGTTTAGCAGCTGTTTATAAGAACAAGGCTGCAGCTTTCGGTGCACTGTCGAAGCGGAGAGCTGACAGGCTTCACAATTAGTGTAACATTTACAAGGTTCTGCGTGAGCTGTGGTACAAATCAATGCAGTCACGCTCCTCACACATCCAGCTGCTGTTCTCTGCTACAGGCCATGCAAGGTGCATGTGTGGAATGCAAAATCGTTACATTGATTATGCCTAAAATGACTGGCAGCTCTTTATATGTGCATGCAGGTATCCATAACAATGGGACTCTGAACGCTGACTAAACATTGAATCAGTTTTAGCAAATTGTTTTATCAGGCTTGTTTCTACAGCACCAACCAAACACTGATGTATCTGATTGAGCCTCAGTGAGGTTTGCCAACAGGCGATCGGCATGTCTGTACAGCTAGAAAAACTTCAGGTGTAGCCAATTGAAAGCCACGCAAATCTATCCATGCCACCTTTTCACATTTTGTTGCATTGCAGCCACATACATCAGTGAATTTTATTTGGCTCTTAGCAAATAATAGTGCATAATTGTTAACTGTTTAGAAAGTTTACATAGTTAAAAATCTGAAAATTGGGGTTTGTACTTGTATTTCAAATCCAGAGCCCTCTAAATTAACAACAATTTAGTCTAAGAAGGAAGCTAGCCGTTCTATAAAGGAATCAAAGGGTTTTCAGAGGATATTACTGAAGACCAATGAACACAGCAGACAGAAGAGGGAGAAAGATATTATGTTTAAAAAAGATTAGATTATAAAACAATACTCCAAATATTCAATCTTTCATCTGAAAACAGATTTCAGATGAAGTATAAATCATCTGCAAACCGACACATGGCCGTCCACGTAAGTCTGACTGACTGGGAAAGAAGTGCACCAATCAGTGAACCAGCCGAGGTCAGGAGAGCTAGTCACAACTGATTGGATGGAGAATAAACATAAAGAAGGGGTAACTCTGATAGAAAATCTGAGAGACGCTGTACAACTCGAGGCACTGAGGTTTGGGGAAGAGCAGTACCTCCAGCAAACGTAAACATCCAGTTAGAGCTACATTGGAATCTTTTAGATCAAATATTGTCCTATGCAAAAAGACCTAGTCAAAGCCTAAATGCAGTTGAGGGTCTGTTCTAAGAGAAAAGGTGATGTTTAGTGACGCTCCATATCCAAGTGGACTAAGCATGAGCTATTGTGCATGGGAAAATTAGGCAAAAAGAAAACTCTTTGTGTCTGATGCTGGTATAAACAATGTCTCCAAAAATCCTGGAACTGCAGCAAAAAGCCATTCATCAAAGTACTGACCAAAGGGAGATTAAAACATGTGCATGCCAAACTTTTTAGATTTTGTTTTTACTTTGTAAAGCAAGTAAAAACAAAACAAAACAAAAAAATTCCTTCTACTAGTCAATTATGTACTGCTTTTGTTGGTCTGTCACATAAAACCACAAAGCAAAACACGGAGGGTTGTGGTTGTAAAGTGACAAACAAATGAAAACGTTCAAGAGGTTTGAAAACTTTTGTAAGGCATTGTAAAGTGATGATCTTAAGAATAATCCTTCTGATGGATTTAAATGCACTGCTGATTAAAACCAGCACTAACTTTTGATTACTGTGCTGCTTTGGAGCAGAAAAAAAAAACTTCCATTAAGCCGTTCCCTTGAATTCAAAAGTCCATAAGGCCTTAATTACCACTCTGATTTTTCATCATAGCTGGGATTAGCATGGATGATGAACGTCAATGCGCAGATCCAAAAGGGCAATGATTAGAAAATAAAAATCAAGCTTTTAATACAGTTTCCTATTTTCTCACAAAATTCAACATCTTCCAAGCGCACCTTGCAAGGAGAGGAGTGGGTCGCTCGAAAGTTAGAAATATTTCTCAAGGAATGCTCTGCTGCTACCAGCCAAAATCAACTTCCGCTCCATGCCGGACATTAGCTCATTTTCATCAAATGGACCTCTGGAAAGTCATGTTGGAGGACGGGGTGTGGCGGGTCCTTCTGTTACCCGCTCTGTGTGTAATCAGGACTACAAGATTATTGCCTGGTTCCTTATCTTTCTAAACACACTGAGGTGGGCTGAGATTGTATCAGCTGTGCTTGGGGAAATTAACCAATAGCTTAACACCGCTGAAGCACCAATAGGGGCGAATACTAAAATACAGAAGGGAAAATATTTACAGTACAAGTATCGGAGAAAAGGGGCATGCTCAGTTTCAACAAGAAGGTTTCCATATATTGTAAAGCTCTAAGATTACAATAACACTAATCAGTGCTTTGGCACCATTGTTTGGCAGCTGCAGATGACTGTTTGCATTCTGACAACCATCAGTTCCTTAATACTCCTGTTACAGCAGAAGTGAAGGAGCGCTGGCACCCACAGTGCTCCCACTCAGGATGCACTGAACAGCTGCGAGGCCAGAAAAAACAAACTCACCCCGGGCGATAAGAAAAACTTAGTGACAACCCCAAAGACCCGTTCGCCTGCATCGGTGAACCCCTGTGCAGCCTGATGGGATTGACGTCTATAAATTAGGCTCCTTTATCAATTCAATAACAATACATCAGATTTCCTTCCTTTCGTGTTGGAAGTTATGGAGAGAAGGTTTCCGTGTTGATTGTCTGCGGTGTTGAAACTGAGCAAGAAGGAAACATTAAAACACGTCTTCCAACTTCATAATTTTCAACGGCCATAACGTGCACCCAAGTAAAATTTTTTTTAACAGTTTCAGAAAAGAGGAAAATTATTGCATGAATGGCTGAGGCTTACCTGGTTTTGGAGGCTTTCCTCCTTGTCCTGTTGGGGGGGAAAAATAAGCACGTTTTGCATAAAATCTTTGGTACAAAAATATTTTATTCTGCCAATACACACAAGTCACAAATTGGTTTAGTTTGTTTACAACTTTGGTAAAGATTTACGGCCTGTTTGCAGGCCACAAGTCCAACATCATACCTGCTGACAGCCCTCCGTAGCCAAGGTTGCCCGTTCCCATTCCTCCTGGTACCAAACCGCCGGTCCCAGCACCTCGGCCTCCACCGCCATAACCTCCTACGGCTGGGTTCAAGCAAGCACATGTGTGACTGCAATCAGAATCAGCACTAAAACCATGCTAAATTTCACATATCACAATGACAAAAAAAATCTATCTGACTTAACTATTCTGAAGAGAACAACTGTCTTGCTCTGAGCATGTTAACAGGATATGCTGTATTCTTTATTCATTCAGTTTTTCAGGAACTATGGAGCTTAGGATGTCTGACCTGGCAGCAACCAGAAAAAGAAGAATAACCTTCAGGGCTAAGGTTTTCTCTGAGACTCATGAAACAGCAGACTGGCACCAGGTGGGAAGAAAGACTGCAGCCACCGTGGCTGCAAAAGCAACAACTTGGGTGTAAGAGGAATCTGGAGAGGCTTTTGGTTGACCTCAAGAAAGTTCTGGAAAACTGTTGAACGACTCAGAAAGCAGAGACCAGCTAAGGGTCAGTGTTGTTTATGGCAGCAACTGTTGATGCTGACAGGCATTCTTCTTAGGTAATGGAAGGAACACTTTTAGGATCTTCTCAATTCGGTCATAAGATCCTTCTCAGAGGAGGCAGAACCTGATATTTAGTTTCGAGTTGTACTCGGAAGTGGGAAATTACGACTTCCCAGTCGGGAAAAAATCAACCGGAACGCCCTCGAAAAGTTGGATTTCCCACTGGGAAACTGGGCGCGAATCCAACTACCCCCCTTACGACTTGTAAGGTCGACTTCATGTTTCAATATGGCCGCCGCTCGCAACGACAGCAGCAAACATGTGCTGGAAACGAGCTCATTTTACAAGACACGCATGTAACAACGCCTCCAGCGTTAATGTTAATGTAGCGCTTGCATCTCCACACTGAACGAATCAATGTTGTTCATGAGAGATACTGCGTAGTCTCTGGGCGTCGCCATGTTGAACGTTCGACTTCTTAACCAGAACGTTGTTATCTTAGGTCTGACGTCAAACCCCAACTCCGAGCTGGAACCACTCAGGAGGAAACCTCTCGAGTCTTTTGCCATTGGACAGATTGCGAGGTCGTTAAAAAGCTTCCGAGCGACGAACATTGTGTTTTTAAACACATACTAGTTCTAAACGTAGCGTCGACGATCCAGACCAAATTTGCAGTGCCGTAATTCTGGCACTATGCGCTATCTAAAAAAATACCAACGGTTTCTGAAAGGAGAGACGTTGCGCTTTCCAGCCAATATTAGGTTATTATGGTAATTTAACCCTTGCTCGCCGTAGCTCTTGTAATAGATGGTAAACTGCAAAAATAACTCCCTGGATTTTGAAAGTTCCAGTTGTCATTGATAGACGGGCAAATACATTTACATTACATTTAAACTAAGAACTGCGTACAATTAAAACAAGCAAATACATCGAGGCGGAGATTTTAAATTTAGGACAGTTAAGGGTTAAGAAGGGGGACCTGGAAGTGTTTTTATGAAAACAATGAAGTTCTCTTCAGCTATTAACTTCTCAATCATCCAAAATGCTGATTTGAAAACCTTGTATCACTTTCAAGTTGGTGGTTATTTGCATCTTGAGTAATTTATACCGAAGACAGATTTGTCATTTGGTCCTTAATAATGTTCTAAAACATGTTGCAAAATGAATGCTTCTTTGCATCAATTTGAGTTGAGAGTGATCTACCATTGGTAAGATTAACCAATGTCTTGAAGAAAACTCTTTAAAACTTGAAAAAGTAAACTATCCTTTTAACTCTGTGGATGGTTGATTTATTCACGAGTATTGCAGTGAATTAGTTGCAGATTCTCAACAGAAGAAGTGAATCTAAGGTACTCTATGAACAAACCACTGACTGCTAACAGGGCCACTTCTCTTCACAGCAGCAAACTGTTCCACCTTCTGTTTGCTTAACTGCTGAATGTTCCAACAAACATAAAGATGTCAAACGTCCAAAGGTCACAGCAGTCTTCCTGCAGCCGAAGCTTTAATATTTTTTGGCTTTAGAAAGCTGCACGGGGTCAAACTTGTTCAGCAAATGGGAGCTGAAAGCTGGCCAGCATTGTGAATACAGAGTGTGACCTGCTGCTAAATTGAGCCGTGCCGCAGACTTGTGAGTGATAGATGTGTGAAGTGACAAGCAGCAGACAGAATGTGCGGCTTTGCAGCAAGCCCAGTGGAAGCATTGGCCACTTTATTATCAAACTAATGAGAACAAAGAAAAGCATATTTGGAGTAACTCATAAAATCTGCAGCTTCACATTTGAACTCATCTAAATTAAACTAGATTACTAAAAATTATGGTTTGATATAGTAAATATCCTGAATCCAAAGTCTCTTCCTCTCACCTCCAGGTTTTGCTGGTTTATAGCCTGCAGGACCACCTCCAGCTGACCCTGCAAGAGTCACAGATTCAAGTTTAAAATTTGGAACAAAAACTAAACACAGACATTTATTTTGGGTTTACTATCTTCAAACATCAAAATCTTTAACGTCACCCAACTCAACGGGGACTTAGAAAATGAAATCAGCTGCAAACATGTTGTACCTCATGTTTTCTCCTCGACAGTGGTTTAATGGCCCTCTACAGACAAACATATTAGTACGCTGGAGTTGTTTTCTGTTACCTGGAAAATATCCAGTCCCTGGCAAAGGAGCGCCTGGCCTATATCCAGAACCAGGTGGCACATAGACACCTGCAACATACATTGAAAAAAAAAAAGACCTTTTAATCATCAGTGTGCTGTATGTCAGAATGAAACTTCATCAGGCAGTCACCACTTTTCTTTCTCTCCCATTTCCATTCTAATAGTTTTTATTTCTAAACAAGAATCCCATTTATTAGGCAAACATTCGCAAACACATTCATCAGCCTGGAACCGAGCAGAACCACTAAAATCTGTCCTTGATGATCACATCTGGGGCTCATCACCGCTGTGATGAAGTGTACAGCGAAAGGTGAAAGCTGCTGGAGTCGGAGCGAAAGCAGAACTTCGTGGATTTTCAGAAGAGTCCCGTTGAATTGTTCTCATACTGATGAGGCACTGCGGCTTTGGGTCGAGGAATTTGCAGCAGCACCCCGTCAACCCCCCACCTGCGTTATCCCCCACAGCTTCGTCTCTGGCTGGAACTCCTCAGATGGTCGCTCTGGACTCCAGACGTGATGGCCTCATGTGTGCAACAAACACCAAGAGCAGAAGAACCTCTGTTTTTTTGCAAAGAGGATTAAAAAGAATTACTGGTTGTTCTGGGACAAATAACAACTAAGTCCGGTGGGACGGGTGAGCTAATGCCTAAATTACAAAAGTATATTCTGAAAAAGCTGGTTTGTATCAAGAAACATAATGCAAATGAGAGAGCTGGGGCAGTCGGATCACAGTGATTATGCCTAATGGCTCCTACATGTGCTGGGAGACCAATTAATTTAAACCACATGTCAAAGGCGTTCATGTGTTTATTAGAGAAGACTGTGTGAACTCAGCCCCTCACACTGGCTGTGGCCGTGAGGGGAAGAGCATTACAAGGCATTTCTGTCTGGTCTACCAGCAGGGATATTTATGACACCTAAAAAAAACATAAAATCTACATAATTTGATTAACTGGATTCCTGCTTTAGTACATTTAAATCCACGATGGCTATGAGTTTCTCACTGATGAGATGTGTAATATACCTTTGGTTAGTGCCATGATGAAATCCCACTGTGCTTTATTGGACAGCTGAGGCTCAGGAAATGAAAAGAAAGTGCCATTGAGAAGGCATTCGACTTGAAAAAATATGAGCGATCTTCACATGAAGACGTTGTTTTTATAATGAATGAATAAAAATGCAGAAAGAATGAAACTATAAATTACTGTCAGCCTTTCCAATAGTTTACAAAGCCAACATTTAAACTTAAAACCCTTTTTCTGAAACAAAAACAAGCCACTTGGATCCGTACCCTGCAAGACAGATAGTTTCACACATCGGTTCCTGTAACAGTATTGTCTATGACTGGAGATAGAGATATTTTTCTTTTCTTTGATAAAACATGTTAATATGATGAGTGGCCATGTGTCGGTCCACAGAAAAATGAAAATGTGAGTGCTTCTGCATGAACAGGAAACATGGGGAAGCTCCATGAAAGCAAATGCTCAGTCGACTTAATCCAGACGGCGTGATGAAAATTGCATCATTACAGAGACGCATCCATCTGCCAAAGTCGACACCGGGGCTGGGTTATGAGGCACATCTTTATGCAAAGAGTTGTGTGACCTCTCAGTAGTTTGTTGCTATGTTTTGTGTGGAAATGCGCTCAGATTGCAATGTCGATGCCTCAGTTTAACCAGTCTGCTTCCACATGTCTGGTGTTTGAATCCACAGGGAGTGTGAATACTTTTTGAGGAAGGATTATCAAAAGCATTGAGGAATTAGGTCAAGTTTTAACAAGACTTCGCTAAATAACGTCAAAGACTGTCAAATGGCAAAATAATAAAACTCCTAGAGGAAAAGCGTGGCGCTCTCTCAGTGACCGTTTTGTAGGAGCGAAACGGAGGACGCAGGGAGGAAGTGAGAGCCCCGCTGGATAGGAGCCTGATGTCCCCCAGGTGTCCAGGTGGCCCGCTCCATGTGTGCTGGTGACTTCATACCTTGGGCAGCACTTTGGCTGTTAATGTCTTAAAATGTACAATGTAATATATCTTGCACTTCTCAGTACAAAGCATCGGCTGATGTTTGTTGCGTTACATCAACATCCAGTATCTTCAAACTAATTTACTGTTTATCCTCAATAATAACCTACTGTATGTTCTTATTGACCCTACATACAGTAGGGTCCACTCAGACTTCGCTCTTCCTCATGATTGATGTGAGGAAGCAAGCGTCTGATAGAAGGTGCCATTTAAGCATTTTAACTACTGTTCCCTCCTCCGCAGGTGTAGCATTAGCAGAAAGCTACGTTACTGTGGGGAAGTTTTGCCGTCACAAGTAAAATATGGATTGAACATATGCAGAGAAAAGTGAGACTTACAATCGTTGCATGGCTCATTAATATGAAGTATTCTGGTGACAGATAGATGAAGTGCTGCCCCCCATGGGCAACAGAGTAACAGCGCTGGTCAGAACTAGCGCCGATGTTGCAACATCTAACCTGAACACTGCCAGAATTTTAGTGTTTTGAACGGCTTTCGTCACAGTCGTTCTCTATTGTCATAAATTACAGGCACACTGGGCTCACCACAATGCACTCAGAGAACATTTTCTTCTGACTTCTTGCTTCCCACTTGAGAAAATTGCTTTCTCAAATCTGAGCTGCAGGTTTTCTATCACTCTTCGTGTCTTGGGTGGACTTTGATTCGGGCTGATCCCTGAGTTAAGCAATGGAAGCATAGCATCATCAGTCTTGGGCACCTTTCAGCTTTTTTACACCTTGTTTTTTTTTTTTTAAATCTTGATTTCTGTCATAGAGCTAATGTAACTTTAATGAGCCGTAAGCTGCAGAATTATACAGAAAAACTGATATATGTCCAATAAGAAAGAAAACATGCTGGGATGCCATTGAAATGTGCTGATGCACCAACAATCTTTTGTAAATTGAAAGAACAACAATATTCCTTTATGCAAAGCAAATCTGTGGTCACAATCTAATCGGAAGGACATCTGGTCATGATCACGAACAAAATCTTTTCTTCAGCAGGGAGCCAAAGAGGGCTTATAGTCAGCCTGATTATGTTGAAACCGGGAGAATGTGGCTGCCCCGAACAGACGTGTTAATGGCAACAGTTAGAGGGACAGCTGTGCATGATTTCATGAATGAGCAAATAATTTAGAAGATCAGAGAGCTAAACAATGGCAAAGTTGCTCAAATTACCCGTGGTTTGGCCTTGCAATTCTGACCAAAAAGAACTGAAAATCCTGCAGACTAAAAAACTGAAACTAAAACAATAAATGTAACATCTGTGAGAAATGTAATATCTGTGTTTATGAGCATCTGAGATTTTTCCTTTCGAATAGATCATATATGGTCCTTAACTGACGACGGGTGTGGAGCGATTGTTCTCATTTTCGCTCCTTCGTTTTACATTCAAAAGAAGGATTTCCTGTCTTGGCAGGAAAGTGGAAACTTCGAGTCTGTGAGCAGCACTTTTTCCTTTAGCTTTAAAACCATATCGCGCTGCTGAGGCATTCTTACAGAGTGCACGAAGTTCACAAAGATGGCAAACACTGACTTTTGTCAGGAGAAGAATTTTTAAGAAATGTCTCCTGATCATTTTAATTCAAGTCACCATCCACCGCTTGCATTCCTGGAGAACTCGACCAGGTCACGGGAATAAGCTGGAATGTGTTTCAGGGGGTAAAACTATCCAGGAAAGGAGATCAGATGAGGCTGAGTTTATGCAGGAGTTAACTCAGGTCAAGAGTTTACTGTTTGAGTTGTAGCTAAGTTTGACAAGTCACAAATAAGAGACCAAAATGACTTGAGTCAGGCACGCTTGATTAAAATCGTAGTAAGAGTTAAAGAAAATTTAAAGTGTTAAACATTGTTGCATCTGTTATTCAGTGGCATCATCCTACTCTGAACCATTAAAAAAAATCCTATTGTTACTTAAATACACCTATGCTTTTTTCCCTCTCCTTTGCGTCACCACTCACCTAACACTGAGGCCCTGAGGAGTAAAGTTGTTGTCACCATCCATCCATCCATCCATCCATCCATCCATCCATCCATCCATCCATCCATCCATCCATCCATCCATCCATCCATCCATCCATCCATCCATCCATCCATCCATCCATCCATCCATCCATCCATCCATCCATCCATTTTCTTCTGTTTTATCACAGTGCTTCTTGGAAAAAAGACAACTTCAATTTTTAGTTCTGAAATGGAACTAATTTTGAGAAATATTCCCTTCTTTCACATCTAAGTGTATTCTCTATGATGCAGTTTTTGGTTGAGTGAGTTGAGAGTGTATTGAGATGACGATGATGTGTGCTGAGAGTTGTGAAAAATCATTTTGGACTAAAAGTAAAACGCTTCATCGCAGACGTGCTGCGCATCTCTGTAATGCCATCGAAATATAAGATCAGCAGCAAACAGTGTGACTTATTGCTAGACGAACATGAGTACTGATGGTTGATGTTCTTATTTTTGTTATTGCAATTTCCCGCACCTAAACTAATACATAAGTCTAAACTAAGTTACTTCATTCAGTTTGCTGTAAAACCAAAGAGGAAAATTTCGGAACAAATGGTTCTTCACTCTAATGGTATTGAAACGCTATTGATTTAGATTTTTTCTACATAGAGATGAAGTTCACCCAAACGGATCAAAGAAAGTAAAATTAATTCTGTCCAGCTTTATGCTGACTTGTGCCACGTTTTAAATGTCACAGTGGGAAGCAGAGGGGAGATGTGTTTATTATCTGTTTAGCTGGAAAAATAATTTAGCACTAAAAACAGATGATTTACTACAAAGTCTAACTGGAACATTTATGCTGTGTGAATTTGATTTTATGGACAATATGAGTTGCTGCACCCAAAGTGACTGAACATAAAAAATGTTTGGAAATTTGAAGTCAGAACTTGTTTTGTTTTCGCATCAAACTAAAGCCAGTGATGTGTTTTTCCACAGTGCCTCCCATGTTAACAGCAATTTTTACAGCCCTTCTTTGTGTGTTTTAGTTCATTTACAACAACCTGGTGAGTAATTTGACATTT